AAGCCCGTGGGTAAAGGAGATACACGGATAAAGCGGGAAAACTGCAGGATGAAGGAGGCCCTCAGATCACACGGCTTGGCATCCTCTGCTGGGATGTGAGGTGCCAGGCAAGGTAGACAAGGGCCTGACAGGCCAGGGCTGTGGGGTGCAGAGGACACACGAGCTCTGCAAGCAGGGTCCCAGTCTTTGGCACTGCAGGGGGGTTCATTCGTTTGCTGGCTTGTTCACAGTGTGATTCTTAAGGGAAAGTCAATGGCAAAGAGGGGGCAATTACATGTGTCAAGCTGGTTCAGTCATCAGGAGAGAGGGGGGAGGCACGTGGGTGGCTCGGTCGGTTAAGCATGAGACTTTGGCTCAGGTCCTGATGTTACGGTTCATGAGTTCGAACCCGGCATCAGGCTCTGCATCGAGTGTGGAGCCTGCTTGGGACTCTCTCTGTCTCCCTCTCTCTCTGCCACCCCTCACTCGCTTTCATTTTCTCTCTCAAAACAAAACAAAACCAAAAACAAAAAGAACAAAAAAACCCAAAAACTTAAAAAACAAAAAAAACAAAAAAAAAAAAAAAAAGGAAAGAGACAAATGTGGGATTTTCAAAAGAGAGTTTCCGAATCAGGCTCCCTCCTCATCATGACCCACAAGCACGGTGCCTCTGAAAAGGAACATTGGGGTTCCTGTCCTGTCTCGTGCTGGTAACTCGTAGGAGCAAGGAACTTACCACCATGAAATTTTAGCTGAGTTAAAGATTTCATGTCAGTGTGGTGCTCTGCGGAGCTCTGTCTTGTCACCATCCAGCCTCACCAGCCTGCTCTTCTGTTTTCTTATTATTTTAATGTTTATTTATTTTTGAGAGAGACAGAGACAGAGACAGAGTGCAAGCAGGGAAGGGGCAGAGAGACACAGAATCCGGAGCAGGCTCCAGGCTCTGAGCTGTCAGCGCAGCTGAGCCGCCCAGGCGCCCCCACCAGCCAGCTCTTCTATCAGGCAAAATGTGTCCCTGGGCTCCCGTGGCATGGGTCGTAGGGGGCTCAGGCACCCAGGCTCAGAGCTAGGGGGTGGAGTGCAGCGAAGCTCCTCAGACCTCAGGACCGGGAAGGAGAGCCCCTCTGCCTAGCCTCACCTCAGACAAAAAACAGGTACCGGGAGCGAGAGGGGATGCCCAGGATGAGACTCACATTTGACTGTCCTTCTTTTCTTTCTTTAAATTCTGCAGATCCATGGAGTGGTTCCTGAGAAATCCACACTCACAGAATTTCTGCCCATGGATCATATTTTTTAAAAGCCCACTCTTAGATGGAAATGAATTGGATTGGACACAGGAGTACCCAGAAGCACTGGCCCTGGAGAGTGAGGGGCCATCCTTAGCCCTCCTTTATACCTTTCTGTGCTGCAGTGACTGTCAAGGGCTTATGGTGCTGCAGGAGTCCTCTGGGGAAGTGGGGATGGAAAGATCTAGTCTGCAGTCGCTACCCTCCAGAACTGTGAAAGCATCCAGATAACTTACTTATCAGGTTGCCTACCACAGCTTTGTGGCTGTTAATATCATTATTAAATTTCTGTGCTGTTAGAGCTTGATTCCTTTCTTAAGTTTTTCTGTCAATTTCTAAATTTTATAGCTGGTACTTAAAAAAATTTTTTTTTACATTTATTTATTTTTGAGAGACAGAGCGCGAGCAGGGGAGGGGCAAGAGGAAGACACAGAATCCAAAGCAGGCTCCGCGCTCTGAGCTGTCTGTCAGTACAGAGACCGACGTGGGGCTCAAACTGGGGGATCATGACCTGAGCCAAAGTGAGACGCTCAACCGACTGAGCCACCCAGACGCCCCCATATAAACCTGTATATCCCAATGCGAAAGTTAGAGGGAGGAAATTGCCCTTGCATTTCTTGGAAAGCAGAGCACAAAACCTGCACCAGCTGACGTGCAGAGGGGCTTGCTGGACCTCTGGGCTCCGAGGCCCCCAGTCTCTCTGACCCCCCACCCTCCCCAGCTGTAAAACTGCTGGCACGCACCTAACAACCTCCCTCTCTCCGTCCAGTTCCATTCTCTGAGCCGCACAGGGAAACATAGCTTCTGCACCCAGCTTCCTTCCCTGATCTAAAGATGCTGCCGTGCAGACCAGGCTAGAAATGACTTCAAGGGCAACCAAAGCCCCTTGTGCAGCCTTGCCAGTGTGATCTGGGCAATAAACACAGGGCAGAGGCTAATGCAGCGTGCTTTTGACTCTTCCAGCCAAAAAAAAAATTTTTTTTTTGGTACCTACTAGGGAATGACTCCTACCCCCTTGGGTAGGGCACTGCTTTTTCCAGAATCTTCTTATAAAACAGCAGTGGTTCAGGGAGGTGGGATTGAGCTGGGAGAGGGGGTGAAAGAGGGAGGGAGAACATGGGGCCTTTTAGAAGGCTGCCTCAGCTGCTCCAACGAGAAAGGGTGCTTTGTGGGAGAGATGGTTTCCGTTGTTGGCGAGCAGGGCCAGCTGGGAGGGGGTGCTAGGGACCGTGGGGCACTGGGCCTGTGGGAATGAGAGGCTGAGCCAGTCCACTTCAGTTTGCCCACGGCCGTTCACGTCACCACAGGCACCAAAAGCTCGGACATAAACCCTGATCTGAGCAGCTAATACAGTGTCAGCTGACTTCCCAGTCCTCCCCGGGTGCAAGCCGAACTCCTCCCGTTACACCAGCTGGAGCTACGGTTCATCAGCCCCTTTCCTGGCCCCTGATGCCTGCTCCCCCCCTCGGCAAGCTGTCTGGGGGCCCTGAGTCTAGCTGGCATTCCTGGCAGGACAACATATGCCTTTCCTAAGGTCCCCAGAGAGGCGTTATAGTCATGGGGAAAAACCCCTACTCACCGGAGATCTTGAGATCAGTCTCTGGGTCTGGACTTGTATCCAAGCGGAGCTCACTATGGGGTCTTGGTGCTGAAACAGCCTCCGCTGGCCTCAGCAACCAGAACCTTCCAGATCACTCAATGCTGGTGCCAGGTCTGCCTCCAGTTAGGAGTCATGTGGGCACAGCAGGCGTGATATTAAAAAGACTATTAACAATGGGGATATTGGGGTGCTGACCAGTTGACTAGGCACTGCCCGTGCCCCTGGCACACCTGCCGCTTATCAGCCTTGGTTCAACCCACAGCATTCAGAATGCCATTGGGCATTGCATCCACTGCACAGAGGTACCTGGCCCCACTCAAGTCCCCTCCTTTGCCAGCCTTGGTACTGAGCACTAGGCCTTCCTCTTGTAGCTCTGGGAGCACTTGATTGAAACGGACTCCTGCTGGCAGTGACCAGAACCCTCTCCCCTACGGAAGGTCGGCACGGGAGGGAAGGATTTTCAGTTGCCCTGTCCCATGTCCACCCTACAATCTGCTATCATTGGTTTATTTGTCCACAGTACACTGGCAGCCACGTTACAGGTATCTACAGCAGGACTGTATCCGAGCATGGATCAAAACAGATGTGAAGAATGGCCAGCCCCGGGCTTCCACCACCAAGATGAAGGCACCCCTAGCTTCCCAGCCAAGATGCACGAGAATGCCATTGCTCTCCAAAGTGCGGTGCTACAGGGATGCCACCAGCCACAGAGGAATGCTGAGGAGTCCACAGCACCCTCTGGCGTGGCGCCAGCTGGATTTTCAAATATGGAATCTGGGACCTGTGCGGACAGGCACGGGACAAGATAATGCAAGGAAGCCGTCCCATGCCTTCTCCTGCCACCAAGGCTAGGAAGCTACTTTAGAGTTGCTCCAGTGGCTGGAGTTCCCAGCATTTGTTCTGACCACCTTTGAGAACCAAGTGTGGCACGTCCAGGGAGTTTTGAAGAAAGGCACCAAGAGACTGCATATTAAGCTCAGCTTTTAATGCAATTTTTAACTCGATCAGTTTCAGCCTGTTTTTCTAAGATCGGTGGCCTCCAGGGAAGGCCTCATTGGTGCATGGGGTTCTGTGAAAGAGACTGAGGGAGACCTGCCATCCACTCTCAAAGAAAGGGACAAAGAAACTGATGTTTACCAAGTGCACTTCCCACAAACCTCTTAACCCTCACTGGGGCGCTGCGGCACCCCATCCTTCTTCCTGATGAGGAAACAAAGGTTTAGGGGAATTAGACATTCCTCGAAGGCCCACCCCGTCCTCTGAGCACTGCAGACACAGCACAGCCACCCACCCCCAGTGGTTGCCCTGAGCCTTTCTTTCGCTCAATCACAGCAGGCTAGAGGCCAAAGTGGGAGGTTGGTCCCACCAGTGCCCACCAGCAGCCCTGGGCCTGTCCAGATGGGAACCTCAGAAACAGATGCAATTGGGTCCAAGGCAGGGCTGGGTCATCTCCTACTAATGGGGGGAATCATCAAAAGGTAAAACCCTTAGGGTCAGGGAGTGCTATTCTGTCATGTTTCATGAAAATCATTTTTTTTTTTAAGTCAAGCAATATACTGTCCAACTCGTTCTGAGCTGGCTTTGTGAAATCGCAAGTATTCTCAATGCCTCATACCCCCACTTCTGTTCTTCCTCTTCTGAAACCCTCCACACCCCTCTGGGGTATCACCCTCAGCTCAAATCCGGCCTCTTCTGGACTCAACAGAATTCACACACACCTCACCACACCCAGGAGCCTCTGCGTGTTGTCCCTCCCACCGAATGGCGACTTCTTTGGAAACAGCCTGGGTTTTAAGCTTCCTCCTAGGCAAATCACCTGGGCTGGCGCCTGACACGGAATGTTGTACACGTTTGAGCAATTCTGTTTCTTCGTGTGCGTGTCTACTCCCAGATGGAAGGAACCTGAAACACCATCGGATTTGGAAACACTGAGTTTTGCACTTGCAAAAATGCACCTGAATGGCCTGAGAGACAGACAGGAGAGGGATCCCTCTTCTGAGCACACAGCCAAGCAAGGCAGGCACTTCGCTAACCCCCATCTTCCGCCACACCCCCTTCACTTCTGAAGCCGAGACTCGCGCATGGCGGCCTGCGGGCGCCCTCTGGTGGCTCTTCAGGGTAATGACAGAAGCGCATTGAAGGTTTGGAGTAGGCTTTTTATTGGGTGGTTATCGCTGCTCTAGGGATGTCAGCTGAGGTCCGCTGAGTAAGCAGTGGCAGCTCGAGAGACGTGGCTCTCCTCTCTCGGTTGATCACAGTGGGCAGGGTTTCTTAAAAAAAGCCCCCAGAGCTCAGAAGTGGAACTGGAAAGCCTCTGTCGTATGCTGTTTCCACACATCCAGGCTGGGCAGCAGGGAGGAGACGGCCATGACGTGCCAGGTCTCCCCACCTGACGCCACCGAGGTCTGGTAGGACAGCAGCTGCACGCCTGCCTCTGCCAGAAGGCCTGGGAAGTAGACAGACAAACCCCTGGTGGGCACAGGGCATGGGGGAAGGAGAAGCAAGAGGCAGGGATCAAAGTTGCAATGGGGGTGTGTGTGTGTGTGTGTGTGTGTGTGTGTGTGTGTGTGTGACAGTCTCAGAATCAAAGCTAAGAGATAGAACAGTGGTGCAGGGACCAAAGTTGCAATGGGTGTGTGTGTGTGTGTGTGTGTGTGTGTGTGTGTGTGTGAGACAGTCTCAGAATCAAAGCTAAGAGATAGAACAGTGGTGCACCTGCCCAGCTCCCCTCGCTGTTCAGAGACTCTTTAGAAACACCCTGACCATGAGGCAAGGTGGGGAAGGGAAGATCCAGCCACGGATTTCGAGAGCAATTGCCTGATTTGGTCACTGTTGTCGGTTTTATCCGGACCAACAGCAAAGGAGAAAAGCAGGGGAAAGTTCCTCTGGTCAGCTGGCAAGGATGGTGAAATTAGGTTTTTGAGGTCTTGTGGACACCCTCTGCCAAAGCTGGAAGTGCTCCAAATCTCCCAGGGGCCCAGCGCCAGGGGCCTGGGGCAGGTCCAAGATACTCACAACCGCTGGAGTGGATGTCTGCACACGCTTGCTTGCAGTCAGGCCCGCGGGCGGGAGAGGGAACCCTAGACTTACAGGCTCAGAGTTCCTGGGACCCAGCTCTCCAGGCACAGCCACGTGGCGTGCTTAATTAATATGGTGAGCAGGCCATCAATAGGGGCTCTGGGGTTCTACCCCAGCCACACGGCTCTGTGACCCTGGGATAAGGCCCTTTCCCTCTGAACGCGGTATCCACTTCCCAGATGTTCTGGAAACTGGCAGGACAGACCCTCCGTGCTGCAGAAATGCCATAAGGGGCAGAGAGGCGCTACAGGAGACAAAGGTCCACGGAGGAGACTGCCCACCCCCGCGCGCCACACACACACCCACACACACACACCCACACACACACACACACACACACACACTCCCGCCCGCTTCAAGGGCACAGGCAAAGCCTACAAAAACCCCTCCTCACCAATCATGGTGGGCAGCATCGCAGGATTAGACGACTGAGCCCGGAACAAGAGCAGGGGCAGGCCCCTGCGGAGAGGCACTTCGGGCCGGAAGACGGCTCCGTTGAGCGCCTGCAGCACAGGAGTGGTACCCTGGACCAAGCCCACAGCTTCGTAGGGGGCACCTGCCAAGGCCACGGTCAAGAGGCATTCTCCACAGCCCTGCTCGCCTGTCCCAGCAGTGTTGTGGGAGGTGGTCACCTGCGGGGAGAAGGTAAGGGGCACCGTTACGCCTGCCAGCCCCACCATGTCCACCCTCTGTGTCCCCCTCACTGCCCGTCTGTGGCGCTTCGGCCTGGTCAACAGGCTCGGCACTTCGGGGCCGGAGGAGAGGGCACATGGGCTAAGTCTGGTGCCCCTGAGCATTAGCTTCCTGGGACAGGCAGCAGCCTCCCTCAAGGGAGGGCACAGAGAGATCTGCCAGGTCCAGCTAAAGGCTAGGAGCCAGGGAGGAGGAGGAGGAAGGGGGCGGGCCCTGCCCCGGAGGCAGACCCAGTGTGGCACCCCCTGCCCACGGCTCCAGGCTGCAATCTAAAAAGGGAGCCAGTGGGGCGCCTGGGTGGCTTAGTCGGTTAAGCGTCCGACTTTCGCTTGGGTCATGATCTCGCGGTTCGTGGGTTCGAGCCCCGCGTCGGGCTCTGTGCTAACTGCCAGCTCGGAGCCTGTAGCTTGTTTCAGTCTGTGACTCCCTCTCTCTCTGACCCTCCCCTGCTCACGCTGTCTCTCTCTCTCTCTCCTAGAAATAAAGAAAAATATTAAAAAAATTAAAAAATAAAATAAAATAAAATAAAAAGGGAGCCAGAGGGGAAGGCACTGAACGGGAGGCCTGAGGGCTGCGGAGGTGGCTTCCAGAGTCTGCAAGCTTATCAAGAAACTGGGTGCTAGGGCAAGAGGAGCACTGAGCAGAGTCAGAGACTGAGCGTGCTGGGCCAGATGCAGCCTGACTCCCCGTCTTTCTCAGCTGTAAAGCAGGGGTGCTGCTCCGGCCTCCCGTTCTCACGTGGCCCTTCTACACAAAGCACGATCTAGCGCACCGAGTTCCCTCGGCAACGCTCAGAGGCGGGCGGATGGAGAAGCAATGACTGCCTGTCACAGGCGGACAGTGTCAGCTGTGGGACCTGCGCTGGGAGAGTGAGGCACTCGGCGAGCGGGGCTGCAAGCATGCTCGGGAAAGGTAGGGAGAGGAGGGCAGGGACCAGAGGGAAAGGAAAGGGCGGCGAGGGGCACGCACATTAAGACCAGTCTCTTTCACCAGCAGCTTGGCGTTCACCAAGTTCACATCCGCCTGAGCGGAAGTGTCTCTGAGGAGGCCGACGATGACTGCGGGGCTCAGGCAGTTCCCAGAATTCTTCAGGGAGCTTCCTAGGGACGGAGGAGCTACCGTCAGATCACTGTTCGGTGAACAACACAGGAGCGGGCAGGAGCGCACAGGCACCGGGCTTTGGGTCACCGCCTCCTCGCTGCCCCGGGGGCCCCCAATCCAGCCTGACCCGGCAGAGAGCCAGGAACAGCTGCCCAGTTCCCTGCCTTATTTCCTCCGGGGATCCCCTGGCGCTGACCTTGCCTATTACTGGCAGTGCGCAGGATCTAACCACCCCCAAGCTCTCCCAAGGGAGCCGGTGCACAGCAGGCCATGGGCGGTGGGGGGCAAGCCTCTGCACGGTTGGTCTCCCTGTCTCTCGTCTGCACAGGCTGGACCCACTTAAAAATACTATATAAACGTGACTGGTGAAAATCACGTGTATTTCCCGGTGATTTTCTGAGCCCCTCCCCTGTCCTCACTGCGTACTAAGTGAGCCATAGGCAGACATAACATGGGGCATGGGGTCACAAGGCTAGAATCAAAGCACTTCCCGGTCCCTCCCTGTCTCTGGCCTGCTGCAGATACAACCCTCTTCCCCTCCTTCTGCAGGGTCCCCAGCTCACCCTGTGTTACCACCTGGACAGTCCCTTTGGGGGACCCAGCCCAGGCTCGCATCAGAGCCCCCAGGGCTTCTGCCAGACCAATCCAAGGCTTGGTGTGCGGAGAGAAGGCACTGGTGAGGGCCTGGGCGTTCACCTGCACAGAAAGGGGAGCAGAGCTGAGGTCAGGAAAAGGCGGGGCAGGGCACACCTGCCCCACTCGGCCCCTAACCGCAGCTCCACGTGGACAGCAGAAGGCACAGACCCATCCTTGCTTCGGGTGCCCGGGGGTTGGGGGAAGAGAACTTCCATCAGTCACCAACAAGGCAGTAACTGGTGCCTTCAGCTCGGGACTGCTGTAGAACCAGAAGAGGGCGCAAAAGGCTAAGCCCGTTCCAAATTTCCAGAAGGGGGACAAAGGTGTGTCCCCCTCCCTGAACTGTGCCAGCCTCCATGGGCGACAGGTCTTTCCTGTGCTGGGGAAGGGTCTGGACAACACAGTAGAAGGTGGGTCTTTGACGTGAGCTGTATGGCGAGTCACAGATCACTTGGACCCGCAGTGGTAAGTCGCTCTAGGATGCCTTCCTTTTTACTTTTTACCTCAATTAGGAAACAGTGAGTATTTACACTGTCATTACTCACTTTGACCAAGTATCACAATTTATAAAGTTGGATTCACATACTCTTGATCCTATCGCCTTTCAGATGTTGGCCCATGTGGAGGCCACTGCGAGGCAGCTGGGCAGCTAAAGGGGGGTGTAGGGTGTAGGGTCTGGAGGGCTGGACCCCCACACAAGGAGCTTGATAACAAAGCCAGCTTGTCCTGGGTCAGAATTTCGATTCCATTTGGTGGTTCAAGATGATCTGGCTCTATAAATAAACTCTACAGAAAAAAAAAGGGTGGGGCTCTTAGGTGGCTCAGTTGGTTAAGCATTGACTCTTAATTTCATCTCAGGTCATGATCTCACGGTTCATGAGTTTGAGCCCTGCTTAGGCTCTGTGCTGACAGCACAGAGCCTGCTTGGGGTGCTCTCTCTCCCTCTCGCTCTGTCCTTTCCCCACATATGCTCTCTCAAAATAAATAAATAAACTTAAAAAAAAAAAAAAGATGAGAGGTGCCTGGGTGGCTCAGTCAGCTGAGCATCCACCTTCAGCTCAGGTCATGATCTCGCAGTCCGTGAGTTTGAGCCCCATGTCAGGCTCTGTGCTGACAGCTCAGAGCCTGGAGCCTGCTTCAGATTCTGTGCCTCCCTCTCTCCTTGCCCCTCCCCTGCTTGCACTCTGTCTCTCTCTCTCTCTCTCAAAAATAAATAAACATTAAAAAAATTTTTTTTTAAATTTGCCCAAGTCTAACTGCTTTGACCAAGGGAGTTTACCTCCAATAGAAGATGGGAACAGCTTGTGGTGCCATTTGATGGAGCTGGTGGTCAGCAACCCCTGTCATGGAAAGGCCTGGAATGCCACCACTACCTAATGGCACCATAGGAACCCCTGAGGGCTATGACGGGAGGGCAGACAGCTGCCTGGCAAAGGGAAGAGCCCAGCCCCAGCTGGCGGACACTGGCCACTGCCCGGGGCCTCGGTCGGGATCCCAGAGCATCATCTGGGTGGGCGGGCTGCTCAGAAGCTAAATGTGCAAAGGGAGTGAGGAAGTGGCCCCCACTCTGAGGAGCCAAGTGACGCCGAATAGAGAGGGACAGGCACACAGATGGGCAGGCCAAGAGTGGTCACTGACTACCGTCCCGTAGCTGCCACCGGGCTGGCCCTGGGGGGGGGGGCGGGTCCCTCGGGGGAGCAGTTGGCTCCCTCACTCCCTCAGGGTATAGGAGGCAGGGTGGCCCAGACGGGCTGAACAAAGCACCCTGTGGCTCTCCTGCTACGGTCTGTCCCCGGCAGTCAGAACTAGGGCTCAGCGGGGAAGGTTGGGGACTAGCCTTGGCTCTCCTAGAATAATGATTCAGAATTTAAAGACAGAAACTCATGAAATCTTAACAAGAGAGAATGTGGTTTCTCGCAAAAGGGTTGAAACTGGGCTAGAAAGGCCAAGCAAGTCTTTGGGAAGGGGTGGGGGTCCCCCTGAAAGAGAGCTATGCTTTCCTTATTCATCTGTGTCCCCCAAAGGACTAGGATAGATTCTGGTACCTTCTGCAGCTTAAAGAACATTCAAAGACCGAATGATTGAGACAGGACTGAAGGAGAAACGTGTTAGGAAGGGCCCAGCGTGAGCTAAGACAGGAAGCAGGGATAGCAGGCCATGATTTGGGAAAGGAGAGGAGGCGTGGGGGGTTCATTCTGGGGCTGGGAATTCGGCCCGCCAAGGGCTACAAGGCGCACTCAGGCCGCCGAGGCGAGAGGTCCCTGACAGGCTTCTCCACTGGCGGGTCCCCCAGCCGCCACTGCCCACAGTGTCCAGCATGACTCAGGCCGCACTCCTTCATTCCCGAGGCTTGTGGAGAACAAAGGGACCTTTCTCTGGAGCCCAGACCCTGGGAAGAGCCACAGTCTCAGCAGCAAGGATACAGTGTAGCAGCGCTGAGCCGTCTCCCTGCCACCCCCCGCCCCCCACACCCGCAGCTACGGAGGCTGGGACAGGGCGGCCCCTGCCACCCCCCCTACAGGCCTGGCTCAGGGGGCGTCCCGATCTCCTGCTCCCAGGGTGGAAACCACTCAGCATAACTGCTCACCAGAGCGGTCACCCCCCACCTGCAACCAGATCCCCTCCTCGGGCTCCTTCCTCTGAACCCTGGGCCCCTGGCGGCCTGGCTGTACTTACCACCCCCGCCAGGGACTTCCCCTTCACCATGTCCACAAACTGGATGGCAATCTCCTCGCCGCAGCGGCTCTGGGCCTCCTTGGTGCTGGCGCCTAGATGGGGGCAGCTGATGACGCTCTCATGCTCCACCAGGGCGCGGTCTCTCGGCGGCTCCTACCCAGAAAGAGACACCTCTGGGTCGGCTGCCCGGGGAAACCAGAGAGGAGGGCAGGGGTGGCGGCGCCTTCTGCCTCAGTCTCGCCAGGGCTGCGGCTGGTCTCAAAGCCCAGTTTCCTCGTCACTGTCCCGCCATGGCAGAGTGGACAGAAGGACGGATGGGATCTGCGTCTCAGCTCCGCGGCTTATGCGTCTTCAGGTACATCTCCACCCACCTTTCCGAGCCTCAGTTTCCTCATCTATTAAATGGGCTAATACTAGCCACCTGGTAACACTGCTGTGCAGATTACGTAACTCAGGAGGCTGTCAGCCAGTGGGGGCTACTGTTGGGGTTACTGGTCTTTCTTTCCCTATGAATCCGTGCAGCACTGACTGCTCTTCACCAAGTAGGCCCTCTGCACACACCGTCACGTTCTGGCTCTCACCACAACAGGTGGTCCACCCTCTAGCGTCCTGCCCATCCTTCTGCTGAGCCCAGCACGTTGCCTTTGGGAATGTCACTCAGGTCTCTTCTGTCCACACAGTGGCAGGTGCCATGAGAAGCCCAAAGACAGCAAGATGGAGGTGCTGGGCTGGGGAAGGGCCAGGTGTGCCTCTGCCTTCAAGAAGCTTATCCTCTAGTTAGGGTGGTGGCCAGGAATACGAACCCAAAGTGCTGTGTCCCTGTACAGGGAAGACACAGTGAGCGCTACGGGGCTCAGAGATGGCTGCGGACCCGCCAAGGCCCTGCCGAAAGTAACCAGCAACCCCTCACTGCGTAGTCCCAAATTCCTGCTCTTTCCTCTGGACCTCTGATGCTGGTGCCGGGACTTTTGAGAGAGGCCAACAGGATTCTCGGGAAAATGCCCTGTCCATCATTCCATCTGGTATGATAGCAGACAGCTCCCCTGCAGAAAGACAGGGCAGCCTGGGCCCGGCACCAGGCCATTATCCTCAGGTTTCCTTTCCTTCCCCGACGAGAGGAAGGAAAGGGAGGAAAGGAGACGCCAACGGACCCTGGGTGGAAGGTCTTCTTGGCAATGGGATTCATTTCATCAGAGACCTGCGTCAATCCATTATACACTCCGCCCCAAGTGATCCCTCCCTGTCTCAAATCCTCATAACTGATTTGCTGCACCGTCTTCCCGGAAGGCAGCAGTGGGGTGAAACTGAGGCCAGGAATTGGGTCCCATTTAAAATCTGAGTTTTGCAAAAGACAACAGGGCCGCCTCTGGAGCAAGCTCTGCAAAGGCTCCTCAGACCACAAGAGTGGGATTTTTGGCAGCACAATTTCTCCTGTTTACTGCGGATGCTAGGGACCTCAGGCCGAAGGCCTCTGTGCACGCTGGGCTTCCCTGCCCCAGGCCCCTCTGCTCACTGCTCCTCTCCTCTCCTGGGCACTCACCTCTGTAAACACGTCCAGCGCAGCACCAGCACACTGACCCGACTGCAGGGCCCGGAGGAGGGCTCCCTCGTCCACGATCCCTCCCCGAGCGCAATTCACCACACGCACCCCCTTCTTGCACCGGGCAAAGGTGCTGTCGTTCAGCAAGCCTGGAGGGAAGGAAGAGCTTTCCTGCAGCGCTGGTGCTTGGTATCCAGACTCCAGTCCCAGCCCCTCCCTTGCCCACAGCAGCTCCTCCCCCGCTGGCCTCCTTCCTGCAGGGTGACAGCCTCTCCCTGCTCAGACCCCAGGGCAAGAGTCTCCATTCCAAATTTAGACCAAACTCAGTTTAGAAACACCCTAGTACTGCCCGAGGCATTAATGCGCTGAGCAGGCCCCAGACTCAGAAAGGCCAGCAGTGGCTCCAGGAAAAAACCATGGGATGGACATGGTGACCCAGTGCATCCCGTGTATTCCCAGCTAGCTCACCCCTCCTCCACGTGGTGTGGGGCCAGCTAACAAAGCATCACCAGACGCCGCACCCGAGGGGCCTGGTCCCCGGCGTCTGCAGAAGGCCTGGATGGAGGGCCCGCCCTGATCTGCTCTGTGGCTTCTGAGGACAACCCATCAGCAGGGACACACTTACCCGTGGTGGAGGGCAGGAGAGGTGTGTGCACAGTGATAAAATCACAGAGAGGCCAGATCTCCTCCAGGGGAAGCTGCTGAACACCAAAGGAGGCCGAGACCTCCGGCGAAATGATGGGGTCGTACCCTATAGTCTGGTCAGAAGCGAGGGAGACACGGAGAGAGGAGTCAATGCCAATGTTAATTTTAGTGTTGATGGCTGTTTACTGACTGTTTACCAAGCACTATTGCTAAACCTTTCCAAACGCCGGTTACCTCTCACAAGAATACAATAAAAGTTGGCACTATTCTACTTTAGAGCGGAGGAAAGTGGGTCTCACACATGAGGAGGAACGAATGCAAAGGGAGGCTCATGCTCTTAACCATGCAAGAGCAGCGCGCGTGCGCGCGTTAAGGTGGAGCTCAGAAACTCTTGGCAAGCAGAAAGCCCAAGAGGGGTAGTACGACCACCTGGGGAGCAGTGACGCACTCGTGGGGTGCCACCAGGGAAGAGAGGATAGGCTGACCACAGCCCAGGACCCACAGGGTCAGAGAGCAGGCAGGAGCACTGACTACTTCAGCAGAGTGAGGAAGCAGGGGTGGGTGAGTGGGGTAGGGCAGCATGAGCAGAGATCAAGACTAGACACTGGGTAGACACATCAGCAGAGATTGTTTGGTCCCTTCTTGAAGTTTCCTTTAAGGCTTAAAGGGCATCTAGTCTTGGAAGGCATGACTTGGTGACTAATCACACAGATGTCTAACTGACTAGAGATGGATCCTTTCAACAAGACAGGCTTGATGGGGGTGAGGAACAAGGACGTTAAGAGTGGGGGATAGGGAGACATAAAGGAACTGTGGATTGGGAGGGACCCAGAAGAAGGTTCTGGGCTGAAAGGGGAGGAGGAGATCCCCAAGACAGAGTGACCTCTCCGAGGCTGCTGAGAAGGAAGGGAGGCTGACTCCTGGGAGATTGGGGGACAGGCAGAAAACTCTGGGGGTACAAACTCCATCAGCCTCATATTTGCAAAGGTCATATATCGGTGAGGGGAAAGGCAGTTGAAGAGAAAGCTCAGAAGAAAGGACGTGCCATCAGAGCTCATAATGGCAAACACTCCTTTTCCACTTCCTATGTCAGGTGCCCCCAACTTATATCCAATGGATCAGGCACTATGATTTCCCCATTTTACAGATAAGGAAACTAAGGCAGAAAGGTGAAATGATTTAGTCAAGGTCATGCCCAGTGGCAAATGGTGGAGTGGGATTTCAGAGCCTGTGCCCCTAGTGCCCCCCCCCCACTTTAATCAGGTAGGGAGGGTCACGGCACCTCCTGAGAAGATAAGGGTGTAGTAGATGGACACATGTCTCCTGCATCAGGAACAGTGTTGCATGCCACTCACACATGTCTCGGCAAGGGCAATGCTTTGAAGATTACCAACCCAGCACAAGCAGCCAGGAAGCATCTACCTCTTTCAACAGCAAAGACTTAATCCACTTTTCTGTCTGGTCTACGCCGGCCTCCCTCCATCAGCTTGGTCCAAGTCAGCAGCACGGACTGGGGGAAGGAGGTGTCGCAGCCATAAAAATCTCAAAGGCATCCATGTCCTCAAGAATGCAGGACAGACAAGTGACCTAGGCATACCTGCAGGGCCAAGGTGTGGACACTACCCAGGAGGCCCGGACCTGGGTCTTCATCCTCAAGTGAGGAATTACGTGGATGATTTCAAAGTCCTCCCCTGCTCCGATTTTCAAGACCTCAATATTCCTTGAAAAGGACGTTCCCTTAACCCGGAAACGTTAGAGGTGAACCCTACAATGTTCAGAGGTGGCCCGGGATTAAACAAAAACAAACAAGAAGAACGTAAAACACTATACTCAGACACTTTAACGGTGGTCATCGCTGGGTGGCGGAAGCTTTTGCTCCGGTGTGCTTTTCTTACTTTGTTGTGTTTCCCCCCCAGATCATCAATTCTTTGGGGGAAACGTAAGTTATCTTAGAAAAATCACAGCAAAGAAGGGGCGCCTGGGTGGCTTAGTCGGTTAGGCGTCCGACTTTCGCTTAGGTCATGATCTCGCGGTTCGTGGGTTCGAGCCCCGCGTCGGGCTCTGTGCTGACTGCCAGCTCAGAGCCTGGAGCCTGTTTCAGTCTGTGACTCCCTCTCTCTCTGACCCTCCCCTGCTCACGCTGTCTCTCTCTCTCTCTCCTAGAAATAAATAAAAAAAAAAAAAAGAAAAAGAAAAATCACAGCAAAGAAGCTTTCTATATAAAATTCAGCCCTTCCAAAAGACATGAACAGACACTTCTCGAAAGAAGACATCCAGATGGCCAACAGACACATGAAAGGATGCTCGGTGTGCCTCGTCATCAGGGAAATACAAGTCGAAACCATGAGATACGACCTCACACCTGTCAGAATGGCTAAAATCAACAAGTCAAGCAACAGATGTTGGCGAGGATGCAGAGAAAGAGGAACCCTTTTGCACTGCTGGTGGGAATGTAAACTGGTGCAGCCACTCTGGAAAACAGTATGGAGGTTCCTCAAAAAATCAAAAATAGAACTACCCCGGGGAACCTGAGTGGCTCAGTCGGTTAAACGTCTGACTTCTGCTCAGGTCATGATCTCATGGTTCATGAGTTCAAGCCCCGCATCGGGCTCTGTGCTGACAGCTCAGAGCCTGGAGCCTGCTTCCGATTCTATCTCCCTCCCTCTCTCTGCCCCTTCCCTGCTCATTCTCTGTGTGTGCGTGTCTCTGAAAAATAAATAAACAGGGGCACCTGGGTGGCTCAGTCGGTTGAGCGTCCGACTTCAGCTCAGGACATGATCTCACGGTTTGTGGGTTCGAGGCCCGCGTCGGGCTCTGTGCTGACGGCCAGCTCAGGGCCTGGAGCCTGTTTCGGATTCTGTGCCTCCCTCACTCTCTGACCCTCCCCTGCTCATGCTGTCTCTCTCTCTCAGAAATAAATAAAAAACATTTTTAAAAAATTAAAAACTAAAAAAACATTTTTAAAAATCTTAAAAAAAATAGAACTAGGAGGATTAGGAGGAACTTAAAGGACGACCATGGGGGAGAAGAAGGGGGGAAATGGTGGGGGTGAGGGAGAGAGGCAAACCATGAGAGACTTTTGAATGCGGAGAATAGGGGCGCCTGGGTGGCTTAGTCGGTTAAGCGTCCGACTTTCGCTTAGGTCATGATCTCGCGGTTCGTGGGTTCGGGCCCTGCGTCGGGCTCTGTGCTGACTGCCGGCTCGGAGCCTGGAGCCTGTTTCAGTCTGTGACTCCCTCTCTCTCTGACCCTCCCCTGCTCACGCTGTCTCTCTCTCTCCTAGAAATAAATTTAAAAAAAAATTTAAAAAAAAAAAATGAATGTGGAGAACAAACTGAGGACTCATGGGTGTGGGGGGAGAGAGGGGAGACAGGCATGGAGGGGGGCCACTTATGGGGATGAGCACTGGGTGTTATATGGAAACCAACTTGACAATAAACTATTTGTAAAAAAATAAAAATAAATAAATTTAAAAAAAAAGAACTACCCTACAGCCCAGCAATTGCACTACTAGGTATTTATCCAAGGGATACAAGTGTGCTGTTTCAAAGGGACACAGGCACCCCAATGTTTATAGCAGGGCTATCAACAATAGCCAAAATATGGAAAGAGCCCAAATGTCCATTGATGGATGAATGGATAAAGAAGATATGGTGTATATATACCATGAAATCTTGCCATTTGCAACTATGCAGATGGAACGAGAGAGTATTATGCTGAGTGAAATTAGCCAGTCAGAGAAAGACAAATACCATGTGACTTCAATCATATGAGGAAATTAAGATACAAAGCAGAGGAACATAAGGGAAGGGAAGCAAAAATAATATAAAATCAGGGAGGGGGACAAAAACATAAGAGACTCTTACATATGGAGAACAAACAGAGGGTTGCTGGAGGGGTTGTGGGAGGGGGATGGGCTACATGGGTGAGGGACATTAAGGAATCGACTCCTGAAATCACTGTTGCACTATATGCTAACTGACTTGGATGTAAATTTTTTAAAAAAAACTAAATTAAAATAAAATTCAGTCCTTCCAGAGAAGAAACTGAAATGGTTATGAATCAGGTATAGCTTTCAGATCACAGTTTTCATCATCTGCCTCGTGGCACCAGGAAAGCCAAGGTGGAGGTTTTGGGGGGAGAGGCTGTAGGATCACAAGGTCATGACCGCCCCAGCCCAAGTGGTCATTCCTTTCAGATGGAACCTATTCGTTTCTGTGGGGACAATGAGGTGTCCAGGGGAAGAGACAGGGTCTCTGCCCGTGTCCTTACAAGTCCTATTTGTCTGTCCTGAGCCATCCAGAACAATGGCCCCGTTCATCCTTAATCCAGATGTACTTTGTTCATGTGAGTGAGGAGAGGTCGGGAACACCAGCAGAGCCCACAAAGCCAGGCCACATGGAGACCAAGTTCATGCAACTCTAGGGCTTCTGGGCTCTCAGGAGCCAAGAACCAGGGTGGAGATGCTGGAAGGGTCCCGCGGGCCGAGCCTGGCCCAGTGTCCCCATGGGGGGGGGGGGGCCTGCAGATGGGGAAGGTGGAGACGGGCATCTTCCACCCGACGCAGCTCTCTCTCGTTCCACTGCAGACAATGCAGGGAAGAATTCGGCTGAGAAAACCCATCATTTTTCACTCAAGATCCTCAGGGAAGTCGGAAGGTGAACTTAGCCAGGAGCTGGGGCTCTCACACCAGGAGTCCATGTGGGGGGAGCAGGGAAGGGTGACACTGGGCCCTGGAGACCTATGTCTGAGTAGAATCCTGATATGCCCTGACAAGGGTCAGATGTGCTGCTGGACAGAAGCTGCAGCGAGTCCAGGCACATGCCATCTGAAGACTGTTCTGAGAGGAGCCTCAGGGACACCCACAAGGGGCTCTCCGGTGAATCCCGGCCTCAGGACACACTCCTGTTGCTGGGTATGAGCAGAAGCCTAGCTTTTCATGCAAAGCCACCTCCTAGCGGGTGTCACAGAAGGCAGGAGAGGCTGCCTTGGCCTCCGCGGGAAAGAGCCTCCCCATCACACCCTCTTCCCACCCCACAGCCAGTTCTTCTGGCTTAAAATTAGAACTCTCTCCCCTTTGCACAGTGAAATCTTCCACAGAACCGTGATATAA